TCGCACTCAGGCGGTTGGGCCGGGTTCACCAGTTACCTCGTCCTCTTTCCCGACCAAGAGCTCGGTGCAGTCATTCTCACCAATGCCAACAACGCAGGTCCTGCCGTATTAGCAGCCTGCAACACCATCGCCGACCGCATATTATTCCCTTCCGCCCCTCCCGTTCCGTGGGTGGACCGCCTCCTCGACATTCAGGATCGCATGCGAAAGGGAGCACAAGCGGAATACGACGCACGTCAGGCGCAACGTATCCCCGACACGAATCCTTCCCGACCGCTTTCCGCGTACGCCGGCACCTACACGCACGACGCGCTCGGCCTTGTCACAGTGGAGATCAAAGGTGACCAACTCGCGATAAACTCACCCATGATCGGAGTTTGGCATGCTACGCATTGGCATTACGACTCTTTCAACTTCCAACGTATCGCTCCGACGTACATTCCCTACGAGTTTGACGCTCTTCTTTCCGATGACGGGGGAAGGGAGATGCTGATCACCTTCGGCGTAGATCCACTGACGGGCAAGATTGCTGGACTCTCGAACATGGACCTGGAGAGGGGACTGAAAGAAGGCGTATGGTTCGAAAGAATTGAACAGTAGCCTTAGTTTTGGGTAGTTCCTTTAGCTTATAGTCGCTCTCTTCTTGACATTCATTAACGCTTTGTGAACATGCAAGCTCAATCAATTTGCGATCGCTATTATTCCTGTTGGTCGCCGTGTTGACGTTTCGCCATTCCACTTCTGTTCGGGACCGGCACCCCACCTCTTTCGTTTCGAGACGTCAGTCACAAATATATACATTTTTATCGCGCTTGTCGTTGTTGGTGGGGCCTTCGCGCGAACATCCCCCAGCTTTCTCCACCCGTGCGCTCATGCCATCGCGGCCCAACAGGAGCCCGTCGTCGGCCTCGCGTTGATCGGCCGTAGCCCACACGCAGACATGCGCACTCGCGTGGCCTTCGACCCCAGGATAGTGGTCGTTGTTGGGCGGGCCGCATCGTACCCAGCAGCACAATTCACGCTCTTCAGTTGTCTCTGAATACACCCGCTCACTATCCACATTTTCTCCCATTGTAGTACATCAAAGTCGAGAAGAAAGCAAGGCAACGACTAGTCCTCGCTATCATTCCTGTTGGTCGCCGTTTGGCGACCCGGAAACGATGCTATCGAAAAAGTACGCGCGCGCGACGCGCGTGAAGACTAACTCAAATCCTGCACAAAGCTCGACTCCCAGTTCTTCTCCAAAGACGACGAGGAAACAATCCTACCCAACGATGGAAGAACAAGCAGCCGAGGTTCTGGTCGAGCAGCGCGGGAGGGAAGCCGAGTTGCACGGGGAGGTGCACGAGTTGCTACGAACCATCGAAGTACTGAAAAAGAAGGTGCGGGCCGACTTTCCCCCCTCAAACGACTGATGAACCACCCTCCTTGGGACACCCGTGTTCTGACTCTATCTATCGTTCGTGCTTTCTCCCTCTCCAGGACGCGGATCTTCCCGTCGGATCTCCGGAACGGACAGAAAAGATACACTTGCTGGAGACGTCGGTGGCCACCTTGGCGAAGGAACTCGAGAGGACAGAGTCGAAGCATGATGCAGACATTGCCACCTCGCTCTCCCACATGTCCAAAAACTCGCAGGAGAAGCTCGGATAATTGAACCCACTTTTGAGGATCGAAAGCCTTCTTCATAGGATTTCCAAAATTATATATGGTAAAAAAGTATTTACAGCTGAACTGTTGAATAGGGTGGGGGAGGCGAAGAGAGGTGATGAAAGGAATGACCTGCGGAGACGACCTCATGGGAGGTGTGATGGGTTCGCGTTGTACCTAGGATATGATGGTGGGAGCTCGGCGTGCGGAGGCACAGCGTTGAGGAACTGGGGATTGGCGGGGGTGGGATGTGCTGGGCCCCAGAGGGCAGCAGCGTGAAGGTCGCGTAAAGCGATCTGAACGGCGCGAGAGGGAACAAAGATTCTACTCCAAGCTTCGAGCGCACGATCGTGTATCACGAGTCCTGCGTCGCACTTTCGGATCATGGCGTCGTCACCGTCCGCTGCGGCACGAGTGAGTGCGATGGCGTAGATCAGCCCGACTTGGTAAGTGCCCATAGAAAGATGTGGCGTGGAGGAGCCAAGGGTATGGTCACGCGAAAGAGCGTGTTCCAGAAGGCAAGCGTGCTCGTCGGCGACACGGACGGCGTCGGCGACGATCTTTTCGAGAAGGACACCGCTGTTTAAGCGAATACTCTCTGGTTCTTCGCCGGTCTCGGAGCTGAGGGCGAACGTTGCGGCGGTCACCACTCGATGAGAGTCAGCGATAACCATGTCGAGAACCCACTTCCGGAGCGCGGCGCGTGCGTGAAGTCCCAACGAAGCGACTGTAAACGCGAACCAGAAGTGCGGTTCCCCTCCAGCGATGCGAGTCCGTAATGCTGGTTGCTTCGACGGCGCCAACATCTCCCGAACAGCCGAAGGTAGCGACAGAAACCATACGTCCAGCTCGGCGTCCAAAGATTGGTATTTGCGGATCATATCCACGCCGTGATGTCCACGGATAAAGTCAACACCTTTGCCGAAAAGCGTTATCAACTGCCTGAGGTAGTTTAATAATGCCAATTCCTCGAAAGGTTGCTGAACCGAACTTCTTCCCTGCCCAGGCCACAATCTCGGCCAAGAACTATCGGGGATATGCGCCCGGATGCGTACCGGGACATTGGCGAAAATGGATGGCATGTCGGTATCGAGCCATGAGATTCTAAAGCGGATCCCGAAATCAGTACTTTTGCAAGATGCGCGCATACATGTCCGATGACCCACCGTTCTAGCAATAGGCAAGACGCCCAGGTTCTTCGCCGAACTTCCTCGCTCAAGGGCGAAAATTCGCAACCGCCAAAACTTTCAAGCTCCAGTGCGATGTAGTGCCCCATTCTCGCAGCCATGCCGATGTATTGCCAGCACAGCGAAACCAGCCCTTTCATCGCTGCGCAAGTGCTTAGTATGAGCAAGCCCTGCACCGCGCTGATGGAGTGGGTGTTGTAGATGTTGACCATCAGCTCACGCGCTGCAAGGTAATGCATTTCCCCTAGATTTGGTGGAGAAGAAGGTCCAGGGGAGCTCTGATCATGCTGAGCAGTATACTTGAATGCCAAGCATTGCATCGCTGCGAGAAGGAACGGATCCTGCGTGCGTATGGACTCTAGGAAAGATTTTCTGTGCAGGAAGTTGAACGGCATCTGTGCGCCAGGGAACCTAGACTAGAAAAGTCAATAATGGAAAAGTCAACGGCGCTCTGCCAGGACCTGGATGGGACGGTCCCTACCGAAACCAGATGTCAATCAATCGCATCGAGACAAGGACTCCGCTGACGTGGATCGTCTCGTTGATTCCGAAAGGGAGAACGCTGTCCTCCGAAAACGGCGATTCCGCTGAAATGGGTGATGGGGGATGCTGGTGATGCTGTGGCTGATGCTGTGGCTGATGCTGTTGTTGACTCGATACAGTTTTCGACATGGAGCCTGTCCCAGGAGAAATGGGACTCAACGACCGTGGCAATCGATCGGCAGTGCCTCGAACGGTAACAGCCAGGCTGTTAGGTCGAGCACTGCTCTGCATCATGGGCACCGACTGCCGGCGTACGCCCGGAAGCCTGTCGGTCGTGTAGATACATCCAGTCTCTGGTGGACCGAACACGCGACATGAGCCGCACATGGGCCTGTCGCCTGAAATGACGGAAAGAATTGCCATGAGCTTCCAGGTCATCCAAAGAGGGCGTGGCTCCCGCGCTGAGGAGAGACGACGGTGATCTCACCATCGCACTTGCGCTTTCTGGCGCGGCAAGGTTCACATGCCCTCCTCCTTCCAGCGCCGACCCTGGCATCACCAGCCATATGCCTGGGCAAGCAAAAGAGGGAAAATGACCCGTGGGACGCGCCTTGAGAGGGACGAGCGCGTGGATGCTTGTACTCCACGAGGGTCCCAAGTATGTGACTGGAGGTGTGTATGAGCGAGAAACTTCCGGGATGACTGAGCACGAACAAGCTGTAAGGGCCGCGGAGAAGCAGCGGAAGTAAGGAGACCGACGAAGATGGGAACGTAGGCGCATCACTACAAGAACATGCACATGTGTAGGTCCTTACATATTCCCTTGTGTGCTACCTATCGGGGGTTCCGTTTGGGACCTTCCTCGCTCTGTGCGACCTACATCGGCCCTTCCCGGGGAAATGAAGCGAGTAATCACCCTTGCCGACAGTCCGCAAACTCGGTAAGCCCCCTATATCGGCTCGAGCTTCCAAAACGCCAAGCAAACATGCTCGGCATGGGTTCCGCCGACACAAAGCGTAGGCAGTTGCAGGGTCTAGACCACCCTTGCCTGCCCTTTGACTGCCATCTGCCGGGAACCTATGGGCTTGTCTGCGACTGCCAAGGAGACTTCTTGCTCCTTAGGGGGGAGGGGGCCAGTTCGAGGCATCAAGAGCTGCTGCTAACCGCCATCCAGTAACCTTTCTCATCGGGTATCGGTTCATGTCCTTACGAAACTGGATAGGTCGAATATCGCGTAACCTTTCTGTCTTTGTCCTCTTTTCGAGACGATGGCCTCGATGTTCCACAACAAGCATAGACCTGATCGACTCTTGACCATCACGCGCAAGGCGCTTGCCACCCCAAGAGCGATCGCATGTATGTCGGTTGAGTCTGTCGCAGCGTAGGGCTAGGCGTAGGAAGAGCGGTTCCCTTCATATCAGAAGCTGGACAACATGGAAGACGTGCTCAATGGCTGCATATGCACCCGGTACCGCTTCTTCCTCGTTGATAACAGTGCGGAGACAGTTTCCTAGAGTTCGAGGCTGAAGGTCGCGTCAACTTCGATGCAAATAGCCTATGAAAAGCCTATGGAAAGCCTGGACAGCTTATGGAAAGCTTGCCGGCCGACTATTCTCGTGCTTGGGAAGACACCTAAAATGGGCTGTAACTTATATTGCCAAAAATTGCTCCGACAACACGGCTCCCTTAGCTCAGTTGGTAGTAGCGTCGTGCTAATAACGCGAAGGTCATCAGTTCAACCCTGATAGGGAGCATATGTAATGAGTTCCTGTGAGAGTGTGGCAAGCGTTCGTTTTGATAGAATTTGAGTCAAAGTTTTGTTCTCCATTGATGCGGCAGTTGCCACGTCCCGCGCCGATCATCGGTGCCCAGATGCGCGAAACATCGCACTTCGTGTGACTTTTCCAAATCGAAATCAACCCCCTCACTGAGGACAACAACGTGGCGAGCCTGACGCCAGAGGGTTTGGAAGGCGGTCGCAGCGGGGATAATGTGTCGACTCGCACTGTACAGTTAGAAACGCGACGTCGCAACACATCTCAAAATTCGATACCGCCAGATGCGCGTGCTTCGGCGTGGTGCGGCATGGTATCTCTCTTTCGGCTCTTCTGCACGGTCTAGCTGCCGTTTTCTCAAGAACGTTAGTGGTGTAACGCGTTACCAACCGGAAGTACCGGCACCACCTGTCGGGGACTTACCTTCTCTGATTCCAAAACTTGGTCGCCTTTTACTGTGAACAGGAGGTCATCCCTTAGCCATCCTAGCCACTGATCTTCATCATGACATTGTTATGTACTGACAATGTCGTCTGTGCGTCGATGTCTGATGGCCACGTCCCTCATGAGAGTTCATCGCTGAGAGTCGAAATGATCTGAAATCGACAGCGCACATCAAGGCGGGAAACGTCTACATCGTCCACGCTCGTCACCCTTTCCTCCCCCCCATCCCCAGCATTTCTCAACTACCGATCCCATTCAAGGGCCCTCTCTGCGCGACCACAAACCCCCACCGAACACGAACGTACAGTCCACGGGGATCCTCGAGCTTATACGCACAAATATACTTCTGTGCCGGTCCTTCTCATCGACTCCCTGGGAATGTTTTGGCGGTTCGGCTTCCATAGTGCTTCGGCAGTCGATGGCCTCCTCGACAAGGAGGGCGTCACTCTGGAAGAGCTCTTTGAGGAAGACGAGATGCTGCAGGAGTGCAAGGCACACAATACCAAGTTGGTGGAATTGTACGTTCTGGGTCTTCCCGGGCATTCGCGTATCGGGTCCTTGTGGAAGCCAGAACTGAAAACATCCGCCCGGCCATACAGCTTAAGCAAATCGCAAAATCTGACGGAGCTCCTCGGCTACATCATGGCTGAGGATCTGGATGAGAGCAAAAAATTCAAGTACGGAATGACTTGACGAATAGGCGTTGTCTGTATTCGGTTTCTGAACTTCGTTGCATCGCGGTACAGATACCCATTCTTAGCTTGCGAAATTTTGAGCTGTGAGATCTTCTCGATGTGCGAAGCAATCGTCGCCGATACCCAACTTTTGAGCAAGTTTTGGAGCCTGCTGGAACGGCCAGCTCCTCTGAACCCGTTGACAGCTAGCTACTTTAGCAAGGTCAACGGTATTCTTCTTACAAAAAAAATGCCAGAGGTTCGAACTATGGATCACTCGTAGATGTGAGACTCGTTAACTCACATCTTCGATGCGTGGGTAGATGATTACTTTCATCAGGGGCCAACCGAGTGTTGTTCAGAAACTTTTGACACATAACGGGAGCTCCGCCATAGCCGATCTGTTGCTCAAGCTGATCAGCTTGGAAGAAATACCGGAAGGCGCTGGTGTGGTGGAGGTGAGGTCATTGCCGAACATCGAAGCCCTTGGCCCCAAACTTTTGACACTTGCGTTGCATGTGTTCCAGTGGTTGAGCAAAGAAGGACTGATCGATACTCTGGTTAGCCGACTGGATCCGGCACTGGATTCGGAGGTAACACGCATACCGCTTTTTTCACAGTACGAAACCAGCTCTGACGACTCAAACAGACACACAACACAGCCGCTCAAACGCTCCTCGATGTGATTGCAGTTAGCTACCAGGCGGTTGCACCGCAAGAAGCCATTCAATCAGCGGGCATGAACTCGAGCGTGGCGGAGGATCACCTGATGATGAATGCTAGCGCCGGAGGGAATCTACTTGTGGATCGATTGAAGAGGTTTGGCAAAGTCAACTGCACACGCTTCGATCAGTCGACTCACATACGTAATTCCACGCAGCGAAGAGATCATGAACAAACTTTCGGAGTACATGCTGGATCAGAAGACACCGCAGTCATCTACCACACTTACGAACGGTATCAACATCTTGATTGAGTTGATACGCCGGTATTGCAGCGAGATCGAGCAAGCAGAATATCAGCAACACCAATATCAGGTGCAGCCGGCCCATTTGCGTCAAGGGCCGCCTCCTCCATCGGATGAGAAGCTGCAGGCATTAGCCACGGATCTCAACGACCTCCTTCGCGTGGTTGGATGCCGTCTCATGCAGTTTGCTGAATTGTTGCATTCTTCCCGCGGCTCGGTGAGCACCACGAGAGCAAAACTATGTCCGGAATTACCTGTGATTGCTGACCACTTCAACAGGAGGAGCAGACTACAACCAACGGACAAAGTCAACCATTAGGATCCGAGCGTTTGAAAACGTGCGAGTTGTTTGCGGAAATCTTACACCTGCAATACCTATACACCTCGAGCCCTCTTTTCGAGCGCCTTATCAGTGCCAGTACCATCAGCACCAAGCGGAAACCGGATGCAGATTCAAAGATCGAAGGCAATAGTGCAAATGGGACGGAAATCGCGCCAACCCATACCACCAGCGTTGCCGACGAGTTGATTACAATCACAGACAAGTTTATTGACGCCAAGATTCTCCCCGCATGTCTCGTGAGTTGTCGAGTTTTCAGTTTAGTGGAAGGCGAGCACGTTCTCACACCCGTTCATCGCACAGGACTTGTTCTTCAGCTTTCCATGGAACAACTTTCTGCACTCTGTCGTATACGACATGATTGCCAAAGTGTTCAACACCTATTCGTACACAAGCAGCTCGAAGCCTTCAGACTCGCCCAAACCTGAGAACCTGGCGGAAGTTAAAGTGGACACAGATGCTGAGCGCAGTCCCGAGGAAGTTCAGCAGGACGAGGAGGACGTTGCTCGCGCCGCTGTAGAGAGTCAGATGAATAGCGTCAAAATCATTGTTCGAAAGCTGGTCCTTTCGGTAACTTTTCACTTGGGATTTGAAGAGACTAGGAGAGACGTTATTGATTTCCTCCTGGCTTGTCAGATTTTCAAGCAGGGCGACCTCACCAAACGGATAATCAAAGCACAAAGTGACAACGATAAGAATGTGTACGTTGCTTCAGCAACTGTCGTTGCAAGATGGATCCTTCAAGTTAATTAACCATTTCCGATTTTCTGCAGTGCACAACCGAAAGGAGTCCGCCTGGGATATATGGGCCACTTGACGTATATCTCGGATGAGGTTTGCAAGCTAATAGAAAAATGCAATGAAGACTTCGTGCAGGAGGTCGGAGGTGAGTAATCGCCATGTCGCCTTCTCGGCAGGATCACGTGCTAAACGGGCAAACCTAGAATACATCTCTGCTGAAGACTGGCAGGAGTATGTGGCGGGTCCTCTCAGCGAGACAAAAGAGCGCGACCGGCAGGCGCTGGGCGGAGTTCGACCGAACGCAGGGAACCAGCCGCACAACGTGCCACTGCTCACTGGCGTGGGCGGTCTGGGGATGAACGGACCTCCGGACGACGGAGATCTCCCTCAGAGCCCACGGGGTGCAACCGGGGACGACGACGACGATGACGACGACGACCTAGATTCCGTCGCTTTGAATGGAGGCAACGGCGGAGGAGATGCGGGAGGGGACGATCAAGGCAGGAATAGACAAGGGGATGATTTGTACTGGCAGAGCGAGGAGGACAGCTGGAGTGGAGATGGAAATTATGATTGAGATATTTTTTTGTACATACCCAATGTCGTCGTCATGCTGTGCGCCTAGCTTGCTCGAACCTAATTAGCAAGGCGATGGTCTGCGCTTTCGGTGTCCAGCCTGCTGCTGGGCTCGAGCCTCCCACCGAGCATTCCGTATCATCGATGTCTGCCAAATTAGAAGAAGGTACCGAGAGGTTGAGTACTTACCGATGCTCCACACCTGAGGGTAAGGTGTACATCAAGAGGCGTTTGAGCCGCGCACAGGCGAAAAGTGCCGCTAGCGGCAAGGCTGCGCAAAAAAAAAACTTGTTGCAGATCCTCCTTCTTGCGCTTTTTGGGCAGCGCTGTTCCTTCCTTTCCCCTTGCCTTGACTACTTTTGTACACACACCCCATTCCGCCATCTCTCTCAAGGCGGCGCCGCATCCCCCATCCCCCATGTGGGAGGGTGAAAATCCTTGGGGGAGGATGGACAAAGGCGATTTTGTCTTTTTTTTTTCAGAGTTACTGAAGGGCGTGGTCGTCGCAGCTCCGCCCTGCCGTCGGTTCGAGAAGCACGAGGAACAAAAGGAGGGCGACCGTTCTTTCGTTCCTTCGTTCCTTCGCGACCGCCTCTCACATCCTACCACACTCCATCTACGTACCTACCTGAAGGACTTTACAGCAAAGATGTTTCTGACCGTCCTTGCCTGGATCTCCATCTCATTCCTCCTCCCCGTGTTATTGTTCGGCACGCGTCTGGGGAAACCGAGGGCAGTCGAAACCGGCGAGGCCACCAGCACTCGCGGCAAGGCTCGTCGCAACAACCGTTCGATCCGCGGGTTGGCAACCGTCCCTCATCCCACCACCACCACCCTCCACGAACTTCTCCAGTATGCCGTCCAGGCTCACGCTTCTAAGCGCGCCATGGGTCAGCGCAAGGTTGTCCGTCAGATCGTCGAAGAGAAGCAGGTCGAGCGGATGGTTGATGGGAAGGCCGTCAAGGACATCAAGAAGTGGAACTTTTACGAGCTGTCGCCTTTCCAGTGGATGACCTACGCCGACGTCAAGCAGCACGTGGCTGACATTGCTGCGGGTCTGAGGGCCGTTGGACTCAAGGCAGAGGACAAGCTGACTTTGTTCGCTGCGACAAGGTGGGTGCCCGGGGAGTCAGATCGGTGCCTTTCACGACTGCCGAGAACCTGACGCTCTTGTGACTTTTTCAGCCGAGACTGGCAGCTGATTGCTCACGCTTCCTGGTCCCAGTCGATCACCATC